AATCAATATATTTAACTTCGTTGGGAGTCTGATTCAGTATAACAATGGGATTGCCTGTGTGTACATTTACTTGCTTCATTTGATAGTGTTAAATAAACAGTGGCTGCCTCCAGAATATTGTGTTTGGCTTTGTCCACTTCCTCATACAACTGTAGTGCTATTCCATAGTTCATGTATTAGTGTAGATTGCAGTGAATATATGTATGTGCCTGCAGGCAACTCTGAAGATCATATCCTGTCCCACCAATATAATTCTTACATGGAATGTTATAAACTGCTGCAACAGGGTTTGCTATGTCTGGTAATGCCTTTGATGATTTTGTCAAGTGCAACAAGATTGTCAATATTGGCTTTAAGGAAGACAGGGGTTATACTGGATGCATACTGTCCTCTGGGTAGATGATGATCAATGTTGGTTTTTTTCCTGGGAGTAGTGTGAATGAATAGGCTATTTTTTTTTTTTTTTTTTTGTAGGAGTGGATGATCTGAAGTGGGAACTTATGGGCTGTGAAGAGGTCCCTGATGTAATTCTGCTTCTCCTCAGGAAATTCTTTTTCATTACAAACCCTGAGAGCACAGAGGATGAAAATCTATGATGATTCCTGGTTTAATCTTGGGATCATGGTGGAAAAATTTGAGTATCAAGTGAATTTTCTATAAACTCCTGTGTTTGAGTTTGTTCCCATCCTTGATGAGGAGGACATCAAGAAAGAGTATTGCTTTTCTTCTTCAAGGGTAAACCGTATGGTGGGTTCTACTGAGTTAAGTGTGTCCTTGAATTAGTGAAGAGTAGAGAGAATAGGGATAATATGCCATATTTGTCAACAGAGGTCATCATTAAAGGAAGAGAGGTTGAACCTAATAAATACAAGGTGCTATCAAAAAGTTCATAGACTGCCATGAAAAATAAATAGGCTTATCTAATCACCTATTTGAAGTTGTCTCCCTTGAGGTACTCTCCTTGGGAAACTATACACTAAATCCCAGCACCTCTGCCAAGTCTCAAAACATTTCTGTAACTTTTCTTTCCTAATGGTGTCTAGCTCAGCCTGTGATTCTGCCTGAATCTCCTCCATGTCATTAAAACACCACACCTTGAGTGCCATTTTTATTTTTAGCTAGAGAGATCACAGGGGAGCTAGATCTGGGGAGTAGGGAAGATGGGGGACACTTCTGGCAAGACTGCTATTGAATGAGTGATGATGAATCTGTTTCCTTTTTCTTTGCTTTCACAGATGTGTTGAACAATGCTGCAATAACAGCTAATTAGCACATGAGTAACTTTCTTATGCAATATATGAATGTAGGTACTGAGTACCTTTCAAATATTGCACATGTACTTCAGTATTAATGCCATATAAACTAAGATCTAGAAAACCCTCAATTTAACAGACTAACAGGAGAAGCAGATGGTTGGTAATGATGACTGTGGTCGACAGAGATGAGATTATTTTGCTGTTATCATAATAATGAACAATTCTGTAACCAATGAACTTTGCTGTTTAGGAATTAAATGACTCAGTGGATTCTGTCCTGGATTTTTCTAGTCTATTAAATCAAGGTACAATATATTAAATTAAGGGTTTACTATATTTCCTCCTCAGGATTCCATTATACACATTAAATATCCTTATGAATACTCCAAAGATTCAAAAAAATTCATCACTATATCTTATAAACAAGCACTCACCTGGCATTACTGCAAGTAAACCATTGCAGGCATTAATGTGCAATGGCATATACCTGTCAAATCCCATTTTCCCACGCCAACGAGCAAATCTATTAAGTTCTTCATACTTCGAAAGCTGGACTAGGCGACTAATTTCATAAATTTGTGGTGGAGGTAACCACAGTTCCTTATTATACCATTGTTCAAGAATGACAGAAGGGGAAGACACCTGCAAAATAAAATCATTATTTTTTAATGAATGTGACCTGCACATCATATAAAACCATTTGACAATAAAAACCACATGCCACAATATGTAAGCATCCATTAACTAGCAATGTCAGATTACTTCCCTCTGCCTTTCACTGTCTCCTACATAAATAGATCTACGTCACTGATGCCAATGTCTGGTGCAGATCTATGTTTTCAGCATAGCTCCTTCTAATATGCTATGAGTAATAAATTTTGATGTAGACATGAGAAAATGGATTTGTGCAGTGAGTGTGCACAGTATAAAAAAAAATCCTGCCCCACGTGGTGCATGATGGCAAAAAGCAAACCTCTGACCTTGTATGTGGTTTAAAATAATGATGTTGAGGTGTTTTCGAGGGTATTTTTTATGGCTTTACTGGGTGTTTCTTGCTATCAGTTAATAGAATGGAAGACATATCAGTGAAATGGAGATAATTTTGGTCAGTTTCAGATTGGAAATAGCTTGAAATAGATCTCAAATTGATGGAAATATTGGAAAATGGATTCAAAATGGAGGACACATGTCATATAGGAGAGGCCTGGGGATGTGATTGATGAATGGAGGAAAGGTTGCTTTAGCGACTGGAATAACTAGTGTTTATTTTGGACTCTTTTTAAATTACCAACTTCTCTGCACATCACAGCTGAATGGGTGGTTTCTTGTGCTCAGTCAATAGAACAGAAGACAGACTAATGAAATAACTAAGAATAGGTCAAACTGAACATTGGAATTGGCTTAAAATTAAAAGTGGGTGAAATTACCGATGTGTAAGTTATGCCCTGACCACCAACTTTGCGCCTGTGTAATTCCATAAGATTAGCATTTTCTTTTTTTTTTGGTGTCATTACTTTCAAAAAAAAATTTGCCACAATTCAGTTTTTTTTTTTTATAATGTGACATTTGCACATTTTTAATTCCTGGAGTTGTGGCAAGTTGAAATTTAAACCCCGTAGAATCACATTATCATCAGGATAAACCTCAAATAAATTTTGGGCACTAAAATTTGTGTAAGGAAAAAAAGACAATCCTAACAAAGCAAGAAACTAAAATGAAAACTGAGGTTTTTTCAGTTAGTCTTGGCCATCAAAGGCCCAAAGAGATTTAAAAATTGGAAAAAGCAAGGGGTTAAGACTGGGGGAGAGGGAATTATCAACATCAATATAAGATACCTAAAAATTAAGCATTTTAAAATTTGTTTTGGGTGAGCAATCCTAACCATCATTTCAATTTCTCAACTCTTGGGGTTTGTTCCACCACAGTTTTGTACTTTTTAACAATAGAAAAATTTAAAAATTTTAAAAATTTGCAAGTATCTACAAAAACCAGAATTTCAAAGGCCTTTTCTGTAATTTGGCCCTTAACATAATTGAACTTACCTGAAACCCACAACCCCTTTATTACAGAATTATTTTGGAATGGTTCTAAAAATGTGATGTGAAAGCTGTATAAATCTCTTTTTTGTCAAATTTTGGTTGGTGTGAGCCAACCCCCATCCTTCATAAGGTCCCAGACTGCGGAAAACCCCCATCCTTGAAACAATCTAATAAACTGAAATGATTGAAAATGGGCCCTTATTCCAGGAATAACTGAAAGCAAAAGAAAAATCAAATTAATGGAGTAGAAAAATAAGCTTTATGGATTAAAAAATAAAATAAAAAACTATAATGAAACGGAAAAAAAAAAAAATACAATTACAAGAGAAAAAAGCTAAAAAAAAAAATACAACAATTAAACCAAGAGCCGGCTTGAGTCCTTTAGATGGAAGTAAGACCTTACTCGCAGAAAGGTGAGGGGTCCCAGTTCAGAGGGGCCCCTGAAATGACATCACACACTTCTGGCAAGACAGCAATTTAAGAAAGACAGTGAACGTTTTCCTCTTCTTGGGTCACCCCCTTTGGTGGGAGACCACCGTGTGTTAAAATGAAACGGGTGTAGGAAAAACCATTCTGATTTCATCTTGCTGTATTTTTGATGATGCAACCTGACTGCCAAATATAGAAGTTTTTCATTTTCATGTTAACTGTTTTCACCCACTCAACCCAACTCTAACCTGGCTGAGTCAGCCGTCACACCCAGTGCAGCTCAAAACAGAGAAAGTGAAATTCCTATTGACTAACTAGCCGGCAGGTGTATGAAAGGAAACAATCCATCATTTTATGAGGGTTTGCTAAAGCAAACCTCATTTCTAGCAGTAATTCCATAAGTGCAATATAAATTTGTTTTATGAAATTAGTGTGGTTTGCAAAACTGAAGTGAAGACTTCCCTTAAACACTGCACGAAAGCCCTTCAAACTTCAATGTATTCACCAAGGACCTGGACACACCTAATTTTAGAACTAGGAACACCTACATTTAGTGCAAACTTATAGCTTAAGTAAATTTTTAAATGCACTGCAGCCCCTGGGGATTTTTCCAGGGCAAGTTGTCATTGTAAAACACTATTGAATATTTGCAATCTATGTATCTTCACAATAAATAAAGTTTAATTTCAATTTATTTTTATTTTAACACACTGGCTGTCTCCCACCAAGGTAAGGTGACTCGAAAAAGAAGAAACACTTTCACAGTCA